ATGAGGAGCCACCTTGTTTTTGTGAGAAGCCCTCTTCTTTTGTACGGGCCCATATTGTTTTTTTAAGGGCCCATCTTGATTTTGTGAGGGGCCCATCTTGATTTTGAGAGAGCCCATGTTCTTTTGTGAGGGCCTGTCATGTTTTTGTGAGGGCCCACCTTGTTTTTATGAGGGCGCACCTTGTTTTTTGTGAGCAGCCATCTTCTTTTGTAAGGGCCCATATTGTTTTTTTTAAGGGCCCATCTTGATTTTGTGAGGGGCCCATCTTGATTTTGAGAGAGCCCATGTTCTTTTGTGAGGGCCTGTCATGTTTTTCTGAGGGCCTGTCATGTTTTTGTGAGAGCCCACCTTGTTTTTATGAGGAGCCACCTTGTTTTTTGTGAGCAACCATCTTCTTTTGTAAGGGCCCATATTGTTTTTTTAAGGGCCCATCTTGATTTTGTGAGGGGCCCATCTTGATTTTGAGAGAGCCCATGTTCTTTTGTGAGGGCCCATCTTGTTTTTGTGAGGGCCCACCTTGTTTTTATGAGGGCGCACCTTGTTTTTTGTTAGCAGCTATCTTCTTTTGTGAGGGGTCACCTTGTTTTTTTAAGGCCCCATCTTGATTTTGTGAGGGGCCCATCCTGATTTTGTGAGGGGCCCATGTTCTTTTGTGAGGGCCCATCTTGTTTTTGTGAGGGCCCACCTTGTTTTTGTGAGGGCCCACCTCATTTGCTCCCAAGAGGGAACTCTCATTAGGGTTCCCATTCCATTTCCAGGGACCAACCCAGCCCTCAGAGCTGAGGGAAGCTCTTCACTGGGCTCAGGAGAAATTTCTAGAAGCCTGTTTTGATGTTTTTGTGAGGACTCACCTTGTTTGGCCATAAAAGGGAATTATTTGGGCAGTTCCATGGGGACCAGGGAGCTGGGCTTCATGATTTTGATGGATCCTTTCCAAGTTGAGATCACCTGAGGCTCAGAACCAGAAGTGACCCCTCAGGGCTGGTGTGGCTGCACGTGGGGCTAAATCCACATCAAGGAGATGTGGCTCAGTGACAGAAATACTGATCAAAGAATCCCAGCATGGTTTGGGTTGGAAAGGACCTTAAAGACCATCCAGTGCCACCTCTGCCATGGCAGGGACACCTCCCACTGTCCCAGGCTGCTCCAAGCCCTGTCCAGTCTTTCCTGGGACATTTCCAGGGATCAAGGGACAGCCCCAGCTGCTCTGGGCACTGATGTTGAATAACAAGAAATAAAATTTGTCACTTGTTTGTCATTTCAGAGCTGGGATTTTTTTTGTTGGTTGGTCCCGAGGGATCAGCAGCTCCATCCCCCTGGATCCTGCCTTTACTCACATCTTTTCCTCTCAGCCCGGCCTCTCCTGGTTTTCCAGGGAATCCTGGTTCGCCTCTTTCCCCCTGAAGGAAACAAGACTTGTCACATTCCTGTCCTGCATTCCACCGCCCTCAGACACCGAGGGGCAGATCCCAGCAGCACATCCATGGTCATGGAGCTGCTCCCACAATCCTGGATGGAATTTGGGCTCCTGGCATTTACCCTGTGCTAGGAAGGGCTGGGATTGTAGGATTTGTATTATTAATATTTATTTTATTTTGATTTATTTAATAATATATGTCTATAGCATTTCAGTTTATT